GCTGATGTCTCTGAGAGTTCGGAGTATCTTCTCCCCATTGGTGGACATTTCAAGGTTTGAGATAGCAGATGTGGAATGTGGACCTTGAGAACGGCTGATGTCTCCAAGAGTTCGGAGTATCTTCTCCCCATTGGTGGACATTTCAAGGTTTGAGATAGCAGATGTGGAATGTGGACCTTGAGAACGGCTGATGTCTCTGAGTGTTCGTACTATCTTCCCCCCATTGGTGGAAATTTCAAGGTTTGAGACAGCAGATATAGAATGTGGACCTTGAGAATTGCCACTCATTCTGACAGTTTGTAGTATCTTTTCCCCACTGGTGGACATTTCAAGTTTTGAGACAGCAGATGTGGAATGTGGACCTTGAGAACTGCTGCTGTCTCCGAGAGTTCGGAGTATCTTCCCCCCATTGGTGGACATTTCAAGGTTAGAGTTTGCAGATGTAGAATGTGAAGGTTGAGAGCTGAAGTCTCTTATAGTTTGAAATATCTTCTCCTCACTTCTGTTGGATATGTTCAGAATTGTCATATACTCCATATCAGAATTAGAAATTATTTTTTCTGTGTTGGAGTTTCTGCTTAACTGATGAGTATCTTTCATAAATGAAACATAGCAAAACAAAATTAGATATGCAACCTACATATTGGGCAGAATCTTTCAAATTCATTCATATAGTAATTATATTTCTGCAAATATAATAGAAGGCTAGTTAATTTCCCAGGCTTCTGATCTGACAAGAATTAGAAACATCTGGGAAAGAAGCAATGGTTCAGAGTGTTAATAAAAAACTTTAACCTTGAAACAGGTGCAAATAAAACATTGCTATGAAATATCCCAAATATAGTAGCATAGGAATGCAGAGGGAATGAGAGGAAGACCCAAACACATTGTCCCTTGTCCATGTTGTAATTAACATCAGAACATTCTTATTGATCTGCTTCAACAAATTGATGCATCAAACACAAGTGAGATTAAGGTTTGAGTAAACTCCTGCATGCTACACATTTTAGGATTTTTTTGCTGAATTAAAGTTTCACATAATCTATGAGTTGAGTACAAACCACACATAAATTAAGTTAAAATCAGGATATCAGGCAGAATAAGATCCACAGTCTGCTTCACACATCATGTTTGTTATGGCTCAGTGTGATGTGTAACATCACCCTAAGAATAAAATCATAGTGGTTTTTCTTTCTATATTTTAGTCCATGAGCTGGATGCATCACGCACAGGCCATGCCCACCTCAGCTCCACGAATGGAGAAAAGGTCACGAAATGTCACGTAATGCCGCCAATTTGACACCCATGTTTTAGGGTAATTCTCAGTTAGCTTTTCTGGAACAATTCTATGCGATCACTCAAGGGTCCAAATACCCAACCCAAATCTTCAAATCTCAAATGATTTCAATGATCTCTCATTGAAACAGACATCCAGCCAGTGTTGGGGTTGAGGGGACATTGTGTTGCAGACTCCAGTATGACTTTTTATATCACTTGCTTTTCTTCTTTTAAATGCAGAAATTGAAATATTCAACAAATCAACTTAAAGAAAGCCAGTAGAAATTAATAAACCCAGAGCAACACACCTTCAGATTGGCTCTGCCCCACAAGTCAGATTTGTGCCAAGAAGTGCTGGCAAAAAACATTCTCATGCAGTGAACAAAGCTGGCATTGTTATTATAACGTTATCCATTTTAAGTTGTAAAGGCGAGTCAGTGCAAGACTAATATGTTCTGCATTGTCTTAATGATCTAATTTAATGGGATGCAATGCCCTAGCAGAAATCATTTGTTTATTTGTGGACTTCATGTATGTCCAAAGAAACTATTTCTCTGAATTCAGCAAACTGCGCACTCAGACTTTTACAGTGAAGGTTGCCAAGCTACAACTCTAAAAATGCGAGTGAAATGGATTTGAATTATTTGACAACTATGTGGAGTAACTGCTAGCAGAAAAACCTTCAAAATACTTTGTTGAAGGCCTCTTCAAGTCCTGACAGAATTTCTCTCACACAAACAGTGGAAAACAGATAAAAGAAAAAGCAACTATTCCAGAGGAAAGAGCAGCTGTAGAAACGCAAATTTAAAAAGATACGATACTTGCCAAACTGTGTTACTTGGCAGACTTATACCTGATAATTTCATGCTCCATTTTGAAAAGAATAAAAGAGACAGCAAGAAGAGCTAAGGAAAGGGAGCAGATCTGAGGTATATATATTAAATGTTGTTGTTCTTCTTATTGTTATTATTCCCAGTGAAGGTTTTCAGATCTGGGACCTTACATCAGGGGTGGGTTTCAACCGGTTCGCGGCGGTCCCTGCGAACTGGTTGGTCGGCGAACCCAGAAGTAAGTAACTTCCGGGAACGGCAAAGGGGCGACCTGCCCACCCGCACTCCTTACCCAGTTTTGACGAGTTTTGCGCTTCCACGCATGCGCAGGACGCATACAGTGCCTGCACGATCCTCCAGGAGCAGCTGGAGCATCGCACAGACGCTAGTACACATGTGTGCGCCGCGCGCGTGCACGAGGACGCTACCGGTCCCATTCCAACTGAACCGGTTGGAACGGGGCAAGAAACCCACCCCTGTCTTACATCCAATATCAGGAGTGTCAAACTCACAGCCTGCAGGCTGGATGTGTCATAGGCTGGTTTAGACCCCCCTGGTTTAGCAAAGGGGGGGAAGTCGTGATACATCACATGACAACAACGTGACATTTCAAGTTTGACACCTGTGCCTTAAATCAACAAAATGAAAGGCAAAACAGTAACCTATCCACATATGAAAAAAGGTAATCAGTTCTGCACTTTAAATGTATTTCATTTTGACATCTAGATTGAGAAAGTTTAATATTCTCCAGCAATTATTGAGACAAAGATTGAGACAAAGTTTACCTGATAATTATAGTTTAGTTTACTATATTCCATCCTACCCAGTCCATTATATATCAATTGAAGTTCAGGAGGACTGTCTTAAAGACATAAATCTGCATCAAGAAGATTATGGTAAACTATTTTTGACCTAAAGCAGACATAGGTAAGTATGACCTTAGATCACCAACCCAGGAATGACGGCATCTGGCACAGTAAAGACAATAGTGAAAAGTGTTTCACACCACCAATTGCAACATGGAGGATTGAGCATTTTAAACTGTGAGTTTACTCTTGAAGAGGAAATGCAGACCCAACTAGCACATATTGAATCTCTGATTGCCTACTGAACAACAACATATTTGTCTTGTCCAGATTTAATATCATCCTGTTCACTTTCATCTAATCCATTACAGATAGTCCTCAATTTACAACAGTCCATTTAGCGACAACTCAAAGCTACAAAGGCACTGAAAAAGTGACATGACCATTTTTCGCAGCTACAACTTTTATAGCATGTGATCAACATTCAGATACTTGGCAACTGGTTCACACTTATGACCATTGCTGTGTCCCAAGGCCATGTGACATCTTTTGACAGGCAAAGTCAATGGGGAAGTCAGATTCACTTAACAACCAGGTTACTAACTTATTAATT